TCTACACACACACACACACACACACACACACACACACACACACACACACACACACACAAGTAATATTTATTAAAATATTGATAGTCCAGAAAACTCACCTTATTTACTGTATTATTTGTTCCTACAATACGAATATAAAGCACTACTCTTGGTTCAAAATATAAATACTGCCAACTGCGACAATAGTAATCTTTGTAATTGACAAGCATGACCCAATCCTTTTGATTCATAGATCCCTTTAATAAAATACCATATTAAATAATAGTAAGATAAAAAAGATCTATATATTTGTACAATATACATAATATTTATTACATTATTGTTGCAAAATATTCATACCTCTATATAATAAGAATAAGATCGCAAATCTAAATCCCATAGTAACATTTTTATATGATTTATAATATACTGTGATCCTAATTTAATAAGAATTCCATACTCTTCTGTGTTAGATATGGTATGCCTTGTGTAACCACGTTCCATATCATAATTGTGAACATCACCATTAAGTAAGTAACTACGCATTTCTCCTTGTAATACTTGAGCATCAAGAGACGAGTCAGCAACATTTTCGTCGATGAGCAAATGGCCACGATACGGAAGTTCCGAATCAGGTGTTTGCGTCTGTACAGCGATTGCATCTAACAGTGCGTCTGGCGATATTAATTGAGACGGTCTTACTACACTTAAAAGATCCGACAATGGAATCAGACTCAATCTGAGTTGAGCTGTAAAAATCATTCGTGTTTAAATAGCTTCATATTTTTCAAAAAGAAATACATTGCTTAATCATCGAATTACATGAAAATTACCTAGTACTTCGGTTGAATCAACATCAGGGTTGTTATTAACCCATGATCGTATAGCTGAAAAAATTTCTATTTCTGGCGCACAGAAGGAATCTCTGGAAATCAATTCAGTTAGAGCAGCTGAACTCAAATGTAGAAAACTCTCATGTTGTACAACTTCGGATGCATGCACATCCATGTATTCGAAACAAACCTGAAATTGAATCACATAAATGCTAATTGATAAATTATCATAGATTTTAATCACATATATAAGTTACAATATATACATCAGGCGGAAGTTACAAAATAAAGATGCATATACAATACTAACATTAGTTAGAAATTCCATATGATATAAAAATGCAGTATCGAGAATTGAACATATATTCTTTATGCTTAATATCTCTTTAAGGTAATCAGATATAGCTGATTCTAAATCCATAAATCCATATAAATGCGCTAAAGCTAGGATATCAAGAATGACCTGCAACAAAGAAAATCAAAGCAAAATAAAAAATAGATCATTTTACATCCTTAAATAATGAATTCAGTCATTTGTATTACACTAGATTAGTGAACATTAAAAAAACTGTTTTATCTAAATGCAGTAGCATAATAATTGATTTTGTATTTGTATTATTTGAAATTAAAGTTAATCTTACATTGATGAAACTGAGTCTTGTGCTTTTTCTATCAATGAAGATTAACTTTAATCTTGGTTTAACATACTTTTTATTTTTTCTCAAAATAAGAAAATTAAAGAATAATTGAAACTAAGATTAAAGTTAATCTACATTGGTAAAAATGAACATTAGTCTTCACTAATCTAGTAGTTGCTTTCTAATTACTTCAAAACTTAGATAATTCTCATTTGACATCATAACTCAGTTAAATGTACATTCCTTTTCACTATGATAAATAAAATTCAACTGAGTTTTTATGTACAATCTGTATAAAGACCATGTACTTACTGAATTGTTAACTCACATTAAAAATGAGATTATAAATCTATATTATTACACCATAATTTTGTCATCAAGTAATAATTATTATCTCAGTATAAAATACACAAATTCAAACTCAGTATCACTTATGTGAAAATAGAAAGCAACTAGTGTAATGCAAGTGACTGAATTCGCTAAAAGATGATTCAAAAGAGCGTTACCTCATCCCGCTCGTTAGTGAGAGACATCCGGCCGGTATAAATGTACTTGAGCAAGCCTTTGAAAGCGTGCAATGAAGATACAGTTAATTCTATTTCACTCTGGGTCGACTCCTTCATGCCTCCGAACAACAAAGCACGAAAGTATTCGCTACGTGCGGCAAGAATAAGCTTGTGGCAACGAAATTTTTGACCTGCCACTACTAGAGTTACGTCTGCATATTCCTCAGACAGGTACAAAGCCTCGATATCCTCAGAGACAAAATGAATGTGATTTATCTCGCCGGACGATGAATTCAGATGATGATTTGAACTCATTTTCGTTGAACACGCTTGATACACTCGTGCCAAACTTCCCAGGCTGCCGTCAAAACAGGTTACAATTGTCACAACATCAGCGACTTTGCTACTCGCCTGTGACTGCGTGTTGTAACCAACAACGAGATTCCGCTCAACAGCTCTTCATAGAATTTGCAGCAGCCGCATGTGTCGATCGCATTTAGTTTAGCAGCAATACGATGTGAGAAAATAATGTGAAAGGAGTAAAATTCGTTTAATGGTTAAGCGGAACACATATGTGTGCAAAAGTAACGTTGATTGATGAAATTGGCGAGAATAACGTGTCACATAAAAATTATTACACGATCACACGATCTGGTATCTTGTTGACCGAATACAGCCACCTTATGCTACGAGCTCCTCCGTTTTATTCTCATAAGACGCATAAAAGAAAGGAATTTCAGCAATTTTCACCGCCACTATTTTCTGCTATTGTCACTATCGATCGAATTTTTCGAAGCCCATGTCACCGACGAGATACGTTAAAGATCGTCAACCTTGAGTAAATTTTCATGACTATAAAGGGTCCTCGGTGGTAATTGAAGAGGATTGATATTATCAACTGCTTTGGCTGTACCGACATAACACTCGATCAATGCCGATAGTACAGATTTTTTTAATTCCAAATAAAAAGTCGATAATAGCGACATCTTAAATTAATTCTTTACATTATTGTTCTGTTTCACTCGCAACGCATATATATCTGTTTTTATCTAATATATATTGTAACGTCAATTTAAATTTAAATTTTAATTTAAATTTTCAATTATCAAAATAGGCCTCGAAGGCTTGATGGTAATTGAAGAATGCTGATTATTAACTGGTCGACATAAAATTTAATCGATATCGATAGTACGACTTTTTATATTCCAAATAAAAAAAGTCGAGTGATGTCTTAAATTAATTTCTTACATTATCGTTTTGTTTCACTCGCAAATGCATACATCTGTTCTTATTTAATTAAAACTCTAGATATATCAAAATAACATCATCTATTTTAGAGTTACTATCCAGCGAACGAGAATGGATTGAAATGAATTGAAATTGGATTCAGATTTTTAAAAATATTGATTCACGAATGTTAAAATGAATGCTTTTCAATCCTGAA